TGCAGTTTATAAAAAGAAGCTTTAGATAAGCTTCTGCAAGAACACCTAAAAGGTTAATGGGAGCAGGAAAACTAGGAGTTCGTTTTACCCACAAGTATACCCTTGTATTAGACACTTCCATGAGGAAATCACAGAATTAGACCTAAAAGTGCACCGAAATCAGGAGACCAATTTCAGGTTAAGTTGTACAGTATGTAAACCGCATATGTGCTGACTGTAAAAATTAGGAGTTTTCTTAGATGCAGATAGAACGGTTAATTTGTTTAAATGGCAGATGTACGAAAATTTGGGGAGAGAGGGAGACAGTAGAGAGGAGGACCGAACCTAGAGGCAATTCCAGGAAGTGGGTTGATTGGAATAGATATTTCGGCTAATGATATAAGAAATTAATCACATGTAAACCTACACATTATTCGAAGTGGCAACTTCAAAATTTATATTCAACCTCTTCACATTTCACAACACTCTACTATCATGATTCAAGGATTGTACACATAAGTAGACTAAAAATTATAGAACTATGTATCCAATTCAAGTGAAACAGTAATGGATTAAACACCAGAAGAGATATGATGTCAATGCAATAGAAAACATGCACTGAAATTTCTATTCTTTCTGATAAAAGCCATATATATCATAAAGGCATTTGATACCTTTACATCCACATTGTGGAACTGAGTGTCAACATCATAGACACGAAACCTGCAATGGAAGCAGTTCCTTGAGATACGTAAGACCAAAAAACATACACAACTTTGGTATAAAAGTATATGCTGGATTAAAACTCACACCAAATTCTGCACCATCTCGAATTGATAAGTAACCATATATTTTCTTATCCACTTGGGACTCAATGAATTCAAAACTACTTCTGTGCGACCAAGCTCCTGAAGCGAACCATCACTTCCTTTCATATAAAGAACCACCATGGGATCACTCTGAAATGTAACAACAATAGTGAAGTGGTAGGTCAGTAGATGAAAACCATGAAAGTATACAACAGCAATCGTTATCACCAACTTACTGAAAATCCGAAGATATGTCAGGGTAGCAATAAGTATGTTTATTATATCCTAGAAAAGTTGGATACAATAAAGAAACAAGTTTAAGAAAAACATTGTGCATAGCCTGTATGGCTACACACACAGACACACATATAATCAGAAAATGGTGTTACATTAGTTTCATATATGATCAGAACAATTAAGGGTTCCACTTCAGTTAAAAGAGTTATCAAAGGCGAAATAGGAGAAGATGCTAGCGAAAACCTAAGCAACTGGTAATTAACAAATACAAGACTACACAAGGAAACAAGCATGCATATCGAAATATTTATGGAAATAGACCAAGACGCAAAGTAATAAGATTGTCTAAATTATGAAATATATGGAATAGATGTTGATAATTGAACAACAGACCTTGGAGAGCACATCTCGATCTCGTAAGTTTTCTGCAGATAGCGACAGCTGCAAAATATGCCAAGAAAAGTTAAAATGGAGAGCTTGAATAAACCATTAGAGAGAAGTTAGTTACAAGGGGAACTTTGTAGGACTTGAACTGTAAAATGACTAACAATTATATCATCGCAGCAAAACAAACTATGAAGAAGTCATGGAAGCTGACCCTGGGTAAAGATCACATGGATGAAATTACAGGTTGACCTAGGAATATTCAATCCCATCATGGACATTTATTGTATCAAATGAGAAGTGATAACTCTATAGCAAAAAGTCATATAAGGTCATACTCAATGACTATGCTTGAGCTAAATTCAAGTGATTGACCAATGTGAATTAGATCACTAAGTAATTATGGTTTCTAACATCTGATCAGAACGGGGTTGCTTATTTTGTTTTTACATTGAACTCAATTGCTGCAACTGACACAATCATGCACAGATACTAACCAAAAAGAGATCATGTAACCAAGCAGACATCAATTTGCTAGAAATTGATAAAACTTAATACTCAAACTCTTAATATTGGTCACAGCTCAAATTCTCAAATTTCAAACGCCACACTTGTGTACGACATGTTTTGGATAAGAGTTGATTATTAGCAAAAGTTATTTTGGAAATTTCAATCACTAAGTTTGAAAAGAAGATTCAAAATCTAAACATCTACCTCATGTAACTTAGTTTTTTGCAAACAACATACATGAATACACAGTTTATCGCAAGTACTTGCATGAAATCCTGACATTGGACAATACTTTGTAGCACGCAAAAAATTCTTTACAAATGTAGCCCCAGAAGTTCGCTAATTGGTGCAAAGAGGTTCTTGTTGTACATCGTTTCAGGCCGAAAGCTTAAGCAATGAGTCCCGAGTCCACAAACATAAGATCAATTTGTTGTCTGATGTATGACTTTCCTCAGATACGAACTTATATACCACCTTTCACGTGAGAGTACGCAGATCACCAAAAACTCTCCTAGAGTGCACTGAACAATCCCCAACAATTTCTCATACTTGTTCCCAGAAATATGTTTAATTTTTTTTGCACTTTCAAGTTTTAACTAATTCACAAGAAACAAAAGTATTCTCAACTTTCCAGTTCCTCCAAGGGCAAGACTGTAAAATCAAGGCATCTCGTAGTAGCTACTTTCTTTCAAGTGTTCCCAATGTTGACCAACTTTCAGCTGTGAAACCAATTGTCAGGGATACCCTAGAAGAGGATTCAAATCCCCCAATATGCAAAATATACATATGCGGAGCACAATCTTAAGCCAAATATTAAATCCAAGGACTCGAGATTCAAACATCGATATAATCCAACTTGAAGTTCACCACACATGTCAAAAACCTAACAATTAACATACATAAGGATTTCGATTGCATCCAATTGGCTCAATCTCACCAATTATTTCTCCAATCCGCAAACACCAAAGTAAGAACTGCGTGCAACTTTGCAGTACGAAATCCAGTAGGCATTTTCAATTAGCTAGTACGCCATCAACACACACACACACACACACACACACACACACAAGACGGTAAACTCTAAAACGATCGATTACGATAAGCAAAATGGTAAAACAATCAAGCCATTCGACAAAGGTAAAATAAACTGGACTACAAACCTCGATCTGAGAGAAGAGTCCATTGTAGCCGCGAGACTTGAGGAAGGCATCGACGGCATCGTTGGCGGCTTTGGCTGCCAAACTGGAAGTGGAGCCTCCGACCGCCGACTGGCCGCCGGAGACGTCAGAGCAGCAATTTCCCATCGCCGGCGTCAACTGAATTTGGGGGAAGAGAGAGAAACAAAATTAAAAAAAAAAGTAATTAATTAGAGATACTATACTACGTGATTCGCATATTTATAGAGGCAGGCAGTCCACGGGGACTTCAAAGGAGAGAGAGAGAGAGAGAGAGGAGGCGGACAAAGAAAGAGATGAGAGACAGTGCAGCAGTTAGTGAGGAGGGACCCACATGTCTGTCTGTCTTGACTCCGCGTTTGGCTATATCAACCAATTATGTATCGACTAAGGGGCTGTTTGGCGATTAAGGCTAAATCAGCTGATTAAGAAGATGGTGTTTGTCAAAAATTATTTAAAAACAAAAGTTATGGACTGTAAATTACGGTAGTGTTAGCAAAAGTTTATTTAAATGAAGAAGTTATGGATTTGTGAGTTAAGCTGGTTTTAAGTGTTTATTTTTAAAAGTTAGGTGTTTGTAAATTTGCTGGAAAATCAACTTAATTAGAAAAAACAGGGTCTTGAGTGCTTAATAGATTATAGTTTAAAGTTGTTTATTTTAAGAGAAACATAAACAAAAATTCATTTTGCAAACACTTAAAAATAAATCATGGAAAATAAAATCATAATCTATTTATAAAAGTTTTTGCAAACACTACCTAAGTTGGTTTTAAGTGTTTATTTTCTAAAAGTTGGGGGTGTATGTAAATATTTTGTAAAATAAAGTTAAATAGAAATGACATGTATAAAGATGCTTTTAAAAAAATAGCTTAAAACAATTTATTTTAAAAGAAGCAAAAGTAAAAATTAATTTTGCAAACACCTAAAAATATATAATGATCAAAGAAAAGCTCAAATCACTTTCAAAAAGCTTTTGCCAACACATGGTACAAAATAGAGTATATTTCTACATGCATAAGACATCTTAAAAACCGTATTTGAGGTGATCTTATTTCATTCAGAACATTTTTGCACTTTATAATTCGCCCTAACATATATATGTAAGTGGTGTTTGTAAAAAAAATTAAAAATAGATGATGAGCTTTTTTCAGTACATAATTCGTTTTTATGTGTTTGCAAAACAAGCTTATGCTTTTGTGTCTCTTAAAATAAGTTGTTTCAAACTATAATTTTAAAAGCATACATGTACCTACTTTTTTTTTAATTGATTTTTTAGTTAATTTGCAAACACCAACTACTTTTAGAAATAAGTACTTAATCTCAACTTAATTCACAATCACTAATTTATACTTTTAATTAAGCTTTTACAAAATGTTTGTTTCAATGGCAAATATTTTTCTCCATTAAACTTGTTTGGATTGAATCATTTGACGATTAATTTCAATAATTTTGTATTTTGAAGGATTTGAATATGAGAATGATTTATAATATTCTCAAATGGCAAGAATTTGAATGAAAAAAATTGCTCCAAGGTAACTTAAAAATCGATTTTGATAAAAAAAAAAAAAAGCAGTTTAATGTTTATTTATATTTTGAGATGCGACGTTTCCAAAATGTTTGTAAAATCAAATCTTTTTTTCCTTTTAGTGAGGACTAATTGTGTGCCATTATATATGTTTTGAAATTGAACATGTGGAAGGATGATGGTTCATATATCACATGCTCTGTCTTCCCATGCTGATTAATGTATATGTTTAAGATATTTGCACATGAATTGTTACATTGGCCGAAATCGATAATCGAACTCTCGGAATCGGATGAGCTATCTATACCCACGCGGATTATAAACTAACGTGGTGTTTGCATTAACTATCCTTTTTTTTTTTTGTTGTAATGTTACCGTTATCATATTCGAACAATTTTTTTTTTTTTGTAATAAAAATATATATATATGTATGTATATATATATATATATATATATATATATATATATATATATATATATATATATATATATATATATATATATATATATATATATATATATATATATATATATATATATATATATATATATATATATATATATATTATTAATTACAATTACAATTCAATTAAAACGGAGAAGTATTGAATATTGAATAAAAGCAATGTCAATTATTCCGGCGGCGAAAAACAATTTGTAGAAACTCTGGAAAGTTGAGGCCAACAGTTAAAATGTAGATTAATTAGCGCTAATGCTAATGCAAATGCTTTATGAGAACGTTAATTACTTTTTTGGCTGCGATTAGTATAACATTTCATGCTGTACTTTAATTTGGTGCCTTTATAAATAATGTTGCCCTACATCAAATCATCTACGTACCAAATGGCATCCTTTTTGGGGTTTATCATCATCATTATTATTTTATTATTTATTTATTTTTATTGTTAATAATATATATCTTTTTTCTTCTTTACACTCTCGCACAGAACGGTCTCTAACTACTTCATGCCTTAAACAATTAATTGATTGTGGACTTTTATCGATATGGTCTTACTAATGTGGTAAATTGCATCCAAATTCAGACTAACAATCTTTCCTGCTTTATTTGGGAATCTAAAATGTTAAATGTCGTTTTAATTTTACTAATATTGTTTTGACTTGGAACCTGATTTTGATATATTGCTATTTTGATTTGGCAAAATTCGAAACACGAAAACTGTAGTCCTTTGGGTTAACTTTATAATCCAATTTAAATCTGCTAGATTGGATGCCGTGTGACAAAGTTATGTATGAATGACTCACATTTTGAATTTTAGATACATCAATACATCAAAGTTGTGAATTTTAGATACATCAATACATCAAAGTTGTGGGCAGTATCCATTGATTCATGTATATCTTTCTCTTCCGACATCCAATTTTAGTGATTGAAGTTGGATTAGAAAACTAACTCAGAATACTACAAATTCTATTTTTCGGGTTTTGCAAAATTTGGAATTAAAAATAATCAATATCATGTTTGAAGTCGTAACGGTATTATTAAAGCTCGAACGACATTTATCACATCCCTTTGGAAATTGAAGCCGTGAGTTAGCTCTGATATCATTTGTCGGACCTCATGCGCTATCAGTTGTTCTAAAATCTTTAGTGTTAGAAAAGGCGCAAAACCTAGTCTTATAATACATTCAACACACACAATCGTCCACGCCATTCGATTGTGGACGAGCTACCCAGACCTCCTCATATGGATAATTGCTGCAAAACCCACGCTAACAAATATTGGCATATCAAAGTCAAGAATTGACATTACTTTTTCATTGAAGACCAGCAAATACTGAGTACAAATATTGAAAATGGAGAGCTAGAAAATATTTATTGGACACACCACTCATCATCTATTGAATCACTTCACAAACACAATTTGTAAAAATCCTTGGATCCAACCTGTCCCAAGTAACAACTTCTAGTAACTACTATGTTGTATATAGATATACCTTTTTGTAGTCAAGGTCAAGGTCAACGACCACAAAGTCAAGGGGTCAACCACTATAGAAAAAAGATATAGTGGGCCAATATTGACGTGCATCAAAGGGTGACGAACAAATATGAAATGTCTATTTCCCATTCCCTTTTCTTTTCTTTTTTTGTGTTTTGGTAATCTTCATTTAAAAAAAAATCCAGGTTCGAATCCCCTTGCCAATAGTCGATATGTCGAATTCATCACACATGGTTAGCCTAGTGTGGTTTGTGTCTCTCGTATGATTTGCAAGCTATTATACTGAAATGTCCTATAGGAGTACTGAAATGATAAAATCAAACTAAGAAAACAATCTGCAGAAACATATATGTACTTGTAAAGGTTCTTCCCTCTCATAATAAAGCCAAAAATCATACCGAAGTTCTAATAGATAAGAATGTAACCAACCGAGAGAAGAACCGACAAATCTGCAAAACGTAACAAAACGAACAATACACACGGACTTACTAATGTCCTAAATGTATCAATCTTCTTTATTCCCCGGATGAAGTGATACGATCAGGCTTGTATATCTTGCGCAACTCTTCGAGAAGACGCCTCCTTGTTTGGGCATCTTGTTCATGAAAGAACTCCGAGAACTTCGCTAAATCCTCAGCACAGTCGAGAATTTCTTCCTCTACCAAACGAGGTTTAGGCTCCATACTTAAGTTCTTCCAATCCACAGCACGATCAAGATTATCTTTCTCTACCAAACGAGGTTTAGTCTCCATACTTAAGTTCTTCGAATCTTCAGCACGATCAAGATTATCTTTCTCTACCAAACGAGGTTTAGTCTTCATTTTTAAGTTCTTCGAATCTTCAGCACGATCGAGATTATCTTTCTCTACCAAACGAGGTTTAGGCTCCATAATTAAGTTCTTGGAATTTTCAGCACGATCGAGATTATCTTCCTCTAACAAACGAGGTTTAGGCTCCATTTTTAAGTTCTTCGAATCTTCAGCACAATCGAGATTATTTTCCTCTACCAAACGAGGTTTAGGCTCCATATTTAAGTTCTTCGAACCTTCAGCCCGATCGAGATTATCTTTCTTTACCAAACGACGTTTAGGCGGCTGCATACTTAAGTTCTTCCAATGCGAGTCAACCAAATCAAGTGGAATAGGTATTCCGTTCTTCTGGAATTCATACAACTTATGCGCGCAAGGTAATCCATACGTTGCTTGTAAATTGCACTCGCAAGGCATCTCGAAATGGACCGTCAAACAATCGCGTGCTCTCTTCAATTTGGACCTGATCTTTTTAAGAGCAAACTCCGAAACGAATCCTCGAAGCTCGTTAAAGATTGCAGGCTTAAAACCATGTTGGTCTTGGACGATATTCTTGCTAGTTCGAAATGAAGATGCTATAATACAATATTGCTGAACCAATATCCCGTTAATGTTTTTCCAATTGTCGGCAAAACTCCCTTTCAACGAATCCAAGTGAAGTTTCAAGTTACAATGATAATAAGTATTGAACCTATCATACAAACGTAGAATAGTGTCAGTCGTTTAATAGATATTTAACGAATATAAAATCGACAAATATTTACTTCGTTATTTTGTACTACTTTTTTTCCGAACAAACCTTTTGTCGAATTCTGGCTCCACCAATACCCCGTAGTGCATACACGTGTTTGTCGTTAAAAAATAATCCTTAAACGGGTCCAACCACTGTTGCGAGATATAAGATAGAGCATCGGGATAACTTTTTTTCAGTAGAGATACTTTTCGATCGAACGACTCTTCGGTAACTTGTTCGACAAAGCAGGACCACATCCACTCAAAACACTCCCATCCAAACGGGCGTCGTACGAACATTTCTTTACAATTAATTCGTATGTCCTGGATTATATGCCATTTACACAGCAAATTACGACTATCTGGATACACAACAGCTACAGCTTTCATCAACTCCGGTTCGAGATCCGTGACAATAACATTAGGCATTGGATACCCTTTCATGAACTTCAACAAATTTCTCAACGCCCACTTGTAATTCTCCGCCTTTTCGTATTTCAAGTACGCAAACGCGACGGGGAATTTCAGGTTCGTAGAAGTAACACCCACAATCTCGAGTAACGGAAGACGGAAGCGGTTAATCTTGACCGTGCAATCCATGATTAACACATGGGGGAAGTTACGTGCGAGAGCAATACTAGCTGGGTGCGTCCACATCATGTCGGTGACCTCGTCGGTTATTTCGCACGACCTGTGCCACTTTAATTATTTGTGCTCGGCCAATTTTTCCATAAGTAGTTGCATTTGAGATTTACCGACCTTCTCTTCAACATTCAACTTCTGAACCCTCCGTTTCGACTCGTCCTCTGCCGAAATCATTTCATCTGCAGAATTAGGGTTTTCCGTGTTTCCAAAATCCGCGTGATTGTGAATACCGCAAACAACAGTCAACTGCCACCCGATTGTTTCGTCGCCCGTGCCTAATTCGTTGCCCTTCAATTTGAAAGGGCATCCGCATTTTCGTGCGCCGACCTCCTCAAGCTTCCGTTTTCGATAGTTACCTCCGCGCTCGCACACGAGCGTGACGAACGCTCTTCTACGCCCGTTGATTCCGTTACGCGACGTTTCAACGGTTAATGCTGTACCGCGTTGCCTGCCCACGGAACGCGCCCACGCGAGCAATTCCTCCCTCGAACCAAATATATTGCGAGTAGTAAACGCATCAGAGAAATCTACTTCTATATCTACAGTGTCCGAAACTCTACTGCACCTACTTGATACTTCACTCTCCTCCTCACTCTGTTAAATTAAATTCAAAATTAGGGCATAGTTTTTAAATTATTACGGTGTTGTGGCTGACAGAAAAAAGACCAGATTTTTCAGAGAGATATATCGCAGAATCAAGGAGGGCATACCAAAATATAAATATCGCAATGCGAAGAGAAAAAAAAAAGTTTGTAAGAAGAAATGTTAATCACCTGGCTATCGACTTCGTATTCTTCTTCATCCATTCTCTCTCTCTCTCTCTCTCTCTCTCTCTCTCTCTCTCTCTCTCTCTCTCTCTCTCTCTCTCTCTCTCTCTCACTGCTAAACCCCCAATTCTTCAGTGAAGTGGAAGCTTGTACAAAACGAAGGTGCACTGGTGCAAATCAGAACTTTCTTCTCTTTCTTTTCATTTACTTATATATTTTAGGATAAATTATACCTACCTCCTTAAAGTTTGGTATAATTACATTTAAACCTCTCTATAAATTGGAAAATTTTGTTTACCTCCCTTAATGTTTGAAATTAGCACTTAAAACCTATTTATTTCACTGTTGGTTTTTTTGAATTTTTTTTTTACTATTGGCCAAATATTGATTTTAACTGTTTTTGTGATGGTGGCTCTCTACCTATCTAACACGTAAACTTCAATTTCTTAACGTTTCTGCGTTTTTGATACGTTTTGTATCGGAAAGTCGAGGATGACACATGCCGAATACCTTATGAGCGGTTTTGCAAATTCTAAAACGTTAAAAACATGTTTGACCAATAAACTTTCAAATATATTTTTTGTTTCCCCAATTATTTACACGAATTAATTAATGACCAATAGCAAATTGATAATTGATATTAGAATTATTTGAATATGTTTATATGAAATATATAAAAAGAATTTATATATAAATAAAAAAGTGTATATGTTTATATAGTTTATTTATAAATATACCCCTATAATTTTAATATTTACAAGTTTCCCCCAATTTCACGTATCCCCATTTTTGGGATTTGCCATTTTCTCCTGCCCCCGTTTTTGTGTTCGTTCTACATAGACAACTCTTTTCTTTCCATTTTATTAATGAAGTTTTTCTTATCAAAAAATAAAAAAAAAATTGTAGAAATTACATTTTCCTCCTATGAAGTTATGGCTAGTTACATATATAGACTGCTCATATTTTCAAATATTACAAAGATCTTCCTCAAAGTTAAAATTTAGGGACTATTAGTGAGAACCCCCTCTAACTTTATTTTAATGAGGATGGATCCAGCTCCTTTTCCTTTATTAGTGAAAGACCCATCCTTTTTTTATTCTCAAATTTACCCTTCCTCTATTCACTACCTATTATACACTACTTTGATACACTTTTATTTTTTTATTTTTTTTGTATTTTAATTTTAATTTTCGTTTTTTTTATTTATTTCTTATTTAAAAAAAATGTATTTAAAAAAAATATTTTTTTTAACTTTTTTATTATATTTTTTTACTATATGTTTTTGTCTTCAGTAAAAACAACTATATTTCAATAAAACAACTATTATTAAAACAACTGCTATTAAAACAATATGATTAAAACAACTATATATCTCCAGCAACTCTCATTTATCAAAATCAACTATTTGTTAAATCAACTATTACATTCAACTAAAAAGTAATAAAAACAACTATATTGCTGCACGAAAACAATTATATTGTTGTACGAAAACAACTATAGTGCTGCACAAAAACAACTATATTGTTGTACGAAAACAACTATATTGATGTACGAAAATATCTATAAATCTGTAAATAACACCACACAATTTCAACAAAAACAAACATCCATTATATTATTGATTGAACACAAAATTAGCCTTCTATATAAGAATTCAACCAAAAACTCCAATTAAGAAAATTAAGATTCGAGAATTGGGTTCCCAAAAAAAAAAAATCAGAGACGAAGAAGAAGAACAACAACAATGAAACAATGTGGCGGTGGTCTGTATTGAAATCTCAGACGCAATATCAACCATAGCGCCGCTGCATAATCTCGTCTTTCTCCTTAGCGAAAACCCTAACGCTGTCCTTGACGAGAGAATCCCAGGGGTGAAGACCGTCTTCTTTTCGCGTTGGTGGAGGGAGGAACGCCGTTGGGAGAAGAGAGTAACGATGGCGGCGTAGAGACGGAAGAGGGTTGGAGGCGGTGGCAGAACACAGATAGAAGAGAGTTGGAGGCGGCGACGATATGTAGAGAGAAAAGAGAGAAAAGAATAAGAAAATAGAGATAACGTGAAATATGTTTGGTTATTTTAGATATAATAGGTCAAATTAAGTATATTAATAATGTCAAAAACAATATTAATTAAAAAAAATTATTTAATATAAGGTGGGGGGTTTTCACTGATAATGAAAAGGAGGTTATATACACCTTAATATAAGTAAATGAATTGGGGGGTTTTCACTAATAATTTAACTAAAATTTTAATTTTAACTCATAAAATAGTATTTTTTTTCTACTAATATATTTTAAAAGTAAAAAACATAAGATATTTAATAATTGAAAATTAATTTTACGCATTTTAAAACTCAAAATTTGTTATTTTATATTTATTTATTTTTTCTTCACATTATTCTGTCTAAAATAAATTTCTATGAACATAAGGTAAACCAAATCACTCTAAAGGTGCACATAACCCAATTTAGTTCGTATTAGTAATTTTAATCGCATTGACATCTCGAAATCAATTGTTCGTTCATGAGCTCGTCGCCCATTGATAAGGGAAAAAAAGTTCAATTTCGTAGAAAATCAGAAATGCAGCAATTAAAACTAAAAAAAAATTACTTTCGTTCTCGATCGTTTTCCCAAAACATGTTTCCGCCAAAAAAAAATTGAAAAAAAGCCCCAAAAACAGTTATAAACACTGCCCAAGTATCCGACCAGAAAAGACGACTACAAATCATATACCAATCTCCAAGGGATGCTCGAAACTGAAAAATAGTTTCGGCATTTTCCACATATTTGCCGTATCAATGGAGGCTGAAATCTGCATACATGAATATGAAGTTACGCGCAGTTGCAAGCATGAAAGTTATAAGTCAAACGCTCGAAAATCAAGAATCTTCCATCAAAATAAACGATTCGACTAAGGTTTCTATATATATAAATATATATAGGTCAAAAGAAAAAATGCATTTACCTTAAGCGAGCCATCGGACTCTATAGTCTGCGTCAATTCAAGCGCCAACTTATCGGTAGACGTCTTATAGGTAGCCCTGAACAAAACATCCATATTCTCTACGCGTCGTTTGTATGACGCACCAACTTTCAACGCGTTCGTATTTAAATTATAGCTCGGCTCAAATTTCAACGATTCGCTATATAAACAGCGACATTTAAGTTTCATTTTCCCGCCGGTTGTATTATTGAAAGAAACCCTAGTCGATGGATTAATATCCAAACTTGCACCCCAAGAATTCCGCGTACCGCCTGAGGTTGTCCAACTCAGTGTTCTATTTGCAACGTTGATCTTACGCGTAAATTGAAGCCTAACATCCTGCAAAATTAAAACAAAATCTAATTAACAAGTGAAAAATAATGGAAGCTAGATGAATTGAATAATAAATCATGCATCAAAACCAAATTTTTTCAGTAACATTCAAATACAGTTAAGCACTAACAAAATTCTATTAATTTAACGAACTAATATAATTTTTAGTATTTTTTTACATAATTAACACTAACCAAATGAGTAATGCCAAAAAGTCTAATTTCAAATAAATAAATAATGAATAAATCAAAAGACACTAGACCTAAAAACTCATAATCAAAATATATTAAGAAATGCATCAATTTTCTTGTTAATAATAATTAAGTAGCGATTAGGATTTAATTACATTTTTGGGGATATTGTAGTCGAGGAGGAAAGAACCCGGTTTCTCAATGGCTAAAACGAAGTCGTTCAATTGACGACGGGCGTTAAGATCTTTAAAGGAAAGACCTTTGATTACAATTTACAGCAGACTCCGTCTTTGAAGCACGGAGTTTGAAATTGCCGCCGTTATAACTGACGGTCTCGGATTCCTCGACTGTAACGCCGGGCCTGGCGGCCTTGTCAACGTTAACACTAGATTTCGACGAGTACTTCAGCATATTGATAAATGATAACCCGTCTCTCTCTCTCTCTCACACACACACACACACACACACAGAGACGCACTGCAAAACCCGAATTCCTCGGCGCAGTGGGAACTTGTTGTAGAATAAAGAAGAGGCTAATCAGAAGTTTCCATGTTTCTTTTGATTCTTCATCTACTTATTTATTTTAGGGTAAGAAATTACTACGTAAATTACAAAAAAAAAAAAAAAAAAAAACCCTTTTATTTGGGTAATTACAACCACATCCTTTAATTATGAATCTCCTCACACGTGTGCACCCTTATGGTGTGAAATTCAACATAATCTTCTAGTTTGTACTTATTTTGTGGAATAATACAGTTTTTGATGCATCATAATCTGATATTTACAAGCCAAGAGATACATCTTATGGTCATCTTGTTTCAAAACGTGGAACTCAAAAAGGATAAAACGCATACAAATTGGAGAATATCCAATATGATCTAGAAGATTCCACCAAAATTTGACACTGCAATAGTTGATGTATAAGAAAATTAATAGTTGATGGGTGGTTGTAATTATTCAAATATGAGGGGTTTTTTTTTTTTTTATAATTTGACCTTACTTCAGTGGTGATTATAAATTTACCAGGGGTGTATAGTAATATTTTTCTTAAATCACTTCCAATATATTTTGTGAAATAATAATAGATCTCTCATAATTTAAACTATACTTGACTACTTTTAGAATTCGATTGCTACTCGTCCCTCAGTGTTCTAAAATCGGCCGAGGCGGTAAAAAACATTTACGATTTTAGTGTATAAGTTTGAAAAATCAATTTTTTGCCTGTGAGGCGATTTTAGGCAGTCCGAGGCGGTTTGAGGCAGTCAAACCTTTATGGCGGGTCAAACTTCAGTGGCAAAAATCGGTCAAAAATCAGTTTTTTTTTTTTTTTTTTTTTTTATAATAATTCAAAATAAAAGTTGGGATTTTGATAAACAAAATATGAGCTTATGTTTTATTTTGCTTATGTTAACTGTTATTATTGAAAAACTAATGATGTATGTTAGGAATGTTGAAGAATAAATGTAAATTCAAAAAAATTGCTTTTTATTTATATTTTATAAGGATATTTATGTATTATGATCTTATTATTATTAAACTTTATTATTTTATTAAGATATATACATGATGGAGATATTACTATGTTTAAATATCTTTTTATATATGTTTTGAGTATTCGTAAAAAATATCTACAAATATATTATATTAAATTTTAAAAACCGATTTATTTCCAATTTATCACCAATTAATCACCGCCGCACCGATTAATCGTGAGTCGGTCCCTGACCGCCTCCGACCCGATTACCGCTTTTTACAACCATGTCGTCCCTAGCTATTTTATTAGATTTTATATTACTTTGATAGATTTAGTGGTTTTGAAGGTAACAAAGTGTATGTGTGTTGAGAATTTTCTTTTTATATTTATTATTTGGGTTATATTATTTTATAAAAAAATACAGCAGTAATTTATTTTCTGATTACCAAACAGAAGTAAGGAAGTGGATTTTCCACAAATCATTTTCCAGATTGCTTTTCTTTGGGAGCAAACATACATGTGATTCTAGAATACATTGAATTCATTTTCCCTTACATTTTTCGTTTTTTATATTTTGAAATCCATGATCCAAACAGAGCCTTAATGTTTATGCAAACGCCATATTGATATAACATTATGTTTCAGGTATTTCAGTAAACACCAACAAGAATTTTCAAGCTAGGGATCTGCAATATGTAGCACATCTGCAGCAGCTTTGTCTTCCTTTTTCGTGTTCTTCTTTCTCTTCCTATCCGATTGAGGTTCCTTTGCTTTTAGATCATTGCAGAAGGACCTCAACGAGGCAGACAGATGATCATTACGGTGAGCTGCAAATAAACGAAACTGGTTGTTGCAATTAACATTAAATGAAACCGTCGTAATTTTGCAATAAGATTCCCCGCAAAAAATATAAAAACTGCAAGCAAGGATCGACACCATGAATAAATCTAGATAAAACATAGGGTAAATTACAACCACCCCTGAGGTATGGTCAATTTACGAAAAAACACCTCTTGTTTGGATAATTACATCTACCCCTCAACTATGATTTTTTCTTACACCTCCACCCTTATGGTGTCAAATTCAACATAATCATCTAGATTTCGTGGAATGTACTCTAGTTTGTACTCGTTTTGTGTAAAAATACAGTTTCTAATGCACCAGATTCTATATATACAAGCCAAAAAACACATATTATGATCATCTTGCTTCAAAATGTAGAGTTCGAATCCGATAAAACGGGTACAAAAGTGATCATATTCCATATAATCTAGAAGATTCCACTAAATTTGAAACTGCAAGGGTGGGCGTGCAAGAAGATTTATAGTTCAGGGGTGGTTATAATTACCCAAAGAGGAGGGGGAGTTTTGTAATTTGACCATACCTCAGGGGTGGTCGTAATTTACCCTAAAACATATGTAAAATCAGTATAGCACTATTTAATATTGTCTGAGATATCTGTGAAACCGTGTGATTAGAGCGCACAATTATCGAAAAAGAATCTTACCAGAAAGGATAACATCTTCCATGTTCACGGACTTTCGACCACCATGTTGTGCGAACAATTCAAGGTCTTTTGCTAGTTGTTCTGCTTTTTCACAAAACAGAATATCAGTTTCGAACCAACAATTCAAACTTTAAAGCCATTTTTTTATATTCGTGGGAAATACTTTATAAAAGGAGAGCTACAACTCGGTTTCAAGAATTTCCCTTCTGAATGAGTAAGGCTCAGTATAGCCATTAACAAAATCGCTAACCCTTGAATACATCAAATAAAAAACACCGAATCGAACGAATAAGATATGGACGAATGTAATCGAAGCTAATAACCCAACTGCACAAAATAATTAGCATTTCCATATGTTTTAGTCTAGATTGTCGTCCCCTTCCCTCCAATTTTTAGCAGTTTCGTTATTTTATTTTCCCACTTTTTTCCGATTTCTTCCCTCTACTATCCTTTCTAGAAATCGTTCAGCCTCTTTACACATGGCCTAGACTTAAGAGATTAATTTTCAGTCTTACTCTTTCCAATTCATCGAAGCTGCAAAAAGATGTTATCATTAATTTGCTTATCCATTAATCACCCTCTTTCCGAACCCTTTGGAATCATCCGAGAAAAAGAGCTTCACTATAATCAATTCGCAACTTCTTCATTGTATATCGGCCACGGGATATTACATAATTGGGTCGCTACCTTGACAAAATCGCATATTTACTCGAAACATCATACATTTAATCAATCATCCACACCTTATATTTGTTAATCCACTGGCGAACAATAAGAATGAAAATAGCAAAGATCCCCCATTTTTTTCGCTTCACATAAAGACAAAAAAAAAAAAAAAAATCAAATCGAGAGAGAGAGAGATTACGGGCATATTTGAAGGCTAAATCGGAGATACACGCCATGATTGGCTGAGAAACTTCCATGCCATTTTGCTTCGCTGCGCAAAAAAACACCACATGGAACAAATCAAAATAAAAACTCCAACCAATTAGTATAACGATGCTCAATCTCACTATGCTACATATATATGCAGAAAAATAGAAGTGGTTGAGAAAATTGAAACCTTCGGCTTCGGCGATGGCGATGGTGCAGAGACGGAATCGATCTCTCAACAGTTCGCTCGCCGATTCTTCTTCTTCTTCCTCCACTCGCTCCGCGTCGCTCGCCATTTCACATTCCCTACAATTGGCACTCGATTTGAGAAATTGGAATTCTTCGAATCGTATTCTTATATTCTAGGGTTCTTTCGTCTGATTGATTTTTTCCCCCTTTTCTTTTTTATTTTTCTTTTCACTTTTTTACGGAAAAACAAATTATGCGCGGGAAACGAGAGGGAGAAGCATGTTTTTCGGACTGAAGTCGTCGTCTACTTCACACGACTTTTTATAAAATTGGGTTTTATATTAAAAAAAAAATATTAAAAAAAATCAAAAAGGAACACCGCTTACGCATAAGGGGATCACTATTTCAAATACTAATTTTTGCTTACTTGAATACCAAAAAAATAAAAAATAAATAATTAATTGTAAATTACTTTAATACCCTTAATGAAAATTAAAACCAAAAAATATTACAAATACTATTTTTCTTTCTTAAAAACCAAATAATCAAAAACCTAAAAAAAACATTTCCCTCCTCACTCACAAACCCCTCACCTCCTCCACCTCCTTCTTCTCCCTCCCCAAAAATCCTCCTAAAAAACCCCAAAACAAAAGAAATCAAAACCTTACACAACTTGCAAAATGGCCTCAAATGACAATAGAATGGTAGTTTACGAGCAAGGAGAACCCATTCAGGTATGTATTCATGTATTTTTTGAGCTAAAACATCGATTTTGAAATTTTTTTTTTTTTAAACTCGCCATGTATTTTCGACACATACAGGTCGAAAATACCCTTATTTTTCGACGTGTATGTGTCGAAAATACCATTAAGTTTCGACACCAAAGTGTCGATTTGGTTCCTGTTGCAAATTTACTTGTCTTATATTTTCGACACTTTTGTGTAGATCGATTGCACCCATTCATTTACCACGTCAGAAAAATTCCCAACAAAAGAAGCTTTAATGGCATGGGTTCGTGAAGTATGTAAAAGAATTGGAATGGTGTTAATGATTGGGGGTTCGAGTGACGGGGATAGAGGACGTAGGACACCGTATGTGATTGTTCGTTGTGAGCGTGGGGGCCATTATGTTGGCAAGAAGGTACCAGGTGAAGATGATCAAAGACCGGGAAAAAGGAGCACCGGTTCAAAGAAATGCAATTGTCCGTTTAAATTGAAGGGGACAAGAGAACACAAGGATGATGAAAAGGCTGAGTGGAAACTGGATGTTAGTTGTGGTATTCACAACCACAACTTATTCGAAAACTTGCACGGACACTCTTATGCCGGAAGATTATCAAAGGAGGATGTTTCCTTTGTTCACACTATGAAGAAGGCAATGGTGAAACCAAGGGAAATTCTAAGAGCATTGAAGCAAAAGGACCCGTCTAATGTAACTGGTATGAAGACAGTTTACAATACTATCTCTAAGTTAAATTTCAGTGAATTGGATGGGAGATCTCAATTGCAATCATTGTTCGTCAAGTTGAAAGAAGATGAATACCTCTCGTACCATAGATCGAACGAGTTGAATGCGATTACCGACTTGTTTTGGATCCACCCGAAATGCATTAAGTTGGCACAGTCGTATCCGTACGTATTCGTCATCGATTGCACGTACAAGACCAATCGTTACGGACTCCCATTTCTTGAGATTGTGGGTTTTACTTGTACCAACAAGACGTTCTCAATTGCCTTTGCATACTTGGACCACGAAAAGACGGAAAATTTTGAATGGGCGTTGCGTTGTTTGAAGGAGGCCATGACCAGTTGTCCTCGGCCTAATTGCATTGTAACAGATCGAGATTTGGGTTTAATGAAAGCAGTGGCCAATGTGTATCCATCGAGTCATCACTTGTTGTGTCGGTGGCATGTGAACAAGAATATAGTGGCCAATTGTAAGAAATTGTTCCCAAAGGACATCACCAAATGGAAGCAATTTCAGTCGAGTTTTTCGGCTCTTATTGAAAGAAATACCATAGAGGAGTTCAATGAGGATTGGGAGGATTTGAAAAGAACATTTATCGGTTATCTCCCGGCTATAGAATATGTAGCTAATTCATGGTTGGATCCGTACAAGGAGAGACTTGTATCGGTGTGGACAAATAAGTATACTCATTTTGGAACGTACACTTCTAATAGGGTGGAGGGGGCACACGGAAGAAATGAAAAGGGATGTGCGTAATTCAACTCGATCAATCTGACAATATCATTTAGGGTCCCCCACATGACCGTATGAGCGTCGGATGGCGCAAGTCCCCGCACCTCGCTAAGTGTACCCTTCACCAACTCCAAAATTTGTGAAAGTTGGACATCTTTATCGGTACCACCCCCTGGACGAGCTTCATGGTCTCGAGGTCGATCCGCCTGGGTCGAGGTGGATGGGCTCCATGCCTACTCAGTTGTAACATGCATCTGGGTCGGAACCAATTCATGTAGTCCGGCGAAGTGTCCGCCTCCCCGAGTTCAACTTCAACGGACCTCGACTCCTCGTCCAGACAATACTCCTCCCACCGATCAGAGAATCGTTCGCCGTACGTAACGAAAATTGAGTTCTGGACCGGTCGACCTTTACTAACTAGAGCTCTGTACATATCTTTTGACATGTATGCACGACCTGGAATGATTTGCACCCGGTTGAACTGCCTCAACACTCTGTCCGGATGATATGCCTCGAAGTGGTCCATGCAACATATCATCCCACTAAACCAAGCAGAATCTGGCATCGGGAAACGATCACGAATAGCTGTATACGGTGCCCATAAAACCTAGTAAAATAAATAAAAAATTAGATTTAGAAACCTACTTAAGTAGTAATAACAAATTATTAAACTGGTATTTTACCTGATCGGGGATCAAATCATCTAATCGAGATCGCAGGTACGACGCTCGTTCAGGCGTTGAAGTAGTCTTTGACTGAGGCTCCCATCGGCTCGCTAATGGCCCCTCGAATTCCGTCTTCAATGTGCCACCCGCCAAATAAGGAAAGTGCTCGTAAATCCATGACTGAAAGAGCGTCAGCCAGCCAGCCATCGAGTTCGTTGATTTTTGTGAGGCTGAGGAAAGCTCATCGTACAACCGGCAAAGACATGCAGTGCCCCAAGCATACTCGCCGATCCGATCCAAATCAGATACAAGATTTAGATACTCCACGCTTACCATGTTGCCTGTCTTGTCGCACAGTATAGTACACCCGAGCAAAAATAACAAATACGCCCGAATGGCGTATGTCATCTTCTCCGCACTATCTCTCATGGTCACTTTGCTAAATTTAGCCTTCAACCATTCCAACTTGACCGCTTTCTTCTTGTTAACATCGTCCGGGTACTCACCTAGCAACTCGAACATCAAACTACTGGGGATCGTTTTGGAATCACGGACCAAACGCTCGCAACATACGGTACGCCCAACAACTGGCAAATCGACCAACGTACTCACATCGTCAAGTGTGATGGTCATCTCTCCAACAGGTAAGTGAAATGTGTTGGTAGCTGGCTGCCATCTCTCTATGAAGGCTCTAAGTAGATGGCCGTCCACTGTGTTGTACGATGCCTGTACAACTGACATTAAACCACATCTTTGTACTACCTCTGTAATAAACGGCGCCGGCTCCCAACCTTTTAAAGTTCCTGTGTGATTTCGTATTCGAAATTCTGAGCCGCGCTCCGAACGATCTGGCCCTCCGTTCACAATATGATAAGCAATGTGCTTATCAAATTTTGTGTACAATTCCGGTATCTCGGGACCTCGGACCGGTTCGTTGCTCGAATCACCAACTTCTACAGTCGAAGGTAGAGCCGGCACCGGATTCGTTGACGAAGAACCCTCTCCAGACTTCTTCTTGGTCGTGGTCTTTTTCTTGGTCGTGACTGCTATGCCCTTGCCTCTATCGGATAATTCCTTCCTCTTCTTACGGTTCGAGACAGTCGGAGGTATACGAGGTTCACGTGGTTCTTCCACTGCAAAATAACACACAAATAAAAATTAATATACATAATATAAACACAAGCAAATAAAAATAGGGAAAAAAAAAAAAAATCTCACAGTTCAAATTCGACAGCAAGCTGTCGAAAATTTCACCATTTTTCGACAGGAAGCTGTCGAATTACCAAAATTCCAAATTCAACAATTTCACCATTTTCGACATCTACATGTCGATTTGTGATGAATTTTCGACATCAACCTGTCGAAAATTCATCGAAAAATCGACATATACAGGTCGAAAATGGTGAACGAAGAACCGACCCACGAATCTCAAATCAATGCTCAAATCGACTGAAATCAGATGCATCCATTACTAATTAACGATCATTCTAACCTAAAACAACCAAATCCTAATTACCCATATCAAACAATCAAATCTTAAATAAATATTAAAGAAAAAAAATAGAAACAACTATAACTTACTATTCGAAGACGACGACGGCGGCGGCTTTGGGCGACGTTGGGCGGCGTTCTTCGGTGTTTGGCGTCGGCGTCCGGCGGCGGCGATGGTTGGAGCGGCGGCGGCGGCGTCGGGCGGCGTGGGAGGGGTGGACGGAGGGAGGTTTTTTTGTGTTTGAATTTTTTTTTTCTTTTTTTTTTTATTTGGTTTTCAAATAGGTAATTTCAAAGAAAAATTGATGTAATTAGTATTTTGTATGAAAGGGTATTTTTGTACTTTTATTTTTATTTTGGTATTAAAGTAAGAAAAAACTTATAAATATGTACTCAAATGTGGTTTTCAACTTGGTAGTATTCAACTAAGCAAAAATTAGTATTCAAAATAGTTGCCCCCTATGTATAATTGTATACTCATCTCATCTCAAAAAAAAAAAAAAAAAATTGTATAATTGTATACTCGCTTGTTAAAACGACATTTTCGTGCAATGACTTGCAAATCGAGCGAGAGTTGCAAAATACATGTACAACGAGCTCAATCTAGAAGTGGAAATCTGAAAGAAATTTTTGATTTCAGCCGATTCATTTTCGAAATCTAAAAGAAAATCCAAGTTTCGATTTTCAACATTTTTTTGGATCCAAATTGAAATATTTATGATATCCAGATTTTTCGATCTGCTTTCAATTTCCGAAAATAATTCCAAAAATCCATTTTTGCAAAAAAAAAAAAAAAAGAAAGAAAACATTAATAATATAACAATATTTCTTTAAGGATTAATAATATCAATAATTTGTGTGTTTTTTTTTAATAATAGGTGAATACAAGAAAAGGGCACAATACGCGAATTCTACCGATTTCAATCAGAAAATTTTGGAACAATTTTTTTATTTTCAATTTTCAAAATTTCCAATAAGTGATGACCTACCGGTTGGAGCATGTGATCATGTGTCAATTGGCCCAACGGTCGCTGGATGGAGTTTTTCACACATTGTTAACCTAGTTTAGTTTACGTCTGTCGTATGGCTTGCAAACTATTATACGAAAGTGTAATAAAATAAAGAATACAACAAAAATAAAAATAGAAACTGCAAATCTGCAAGTGTAATGGCATCCTATTGCATAAAAACAGAAGATTTTTGTAACTGCTATTTTGATACCAAAAGATGAAGAAATCTTTTACCATTTATTAAGCACTTCGCAAACAAGACCCGAAAAATCAAGGGCATCAAATACACGGTAGACCGGGTAAAACAGGCAAGTGGCAGAATCCGAAAAACAAAATCGGGAAAATGTGACTTTAAATCGCGAAATCAAGAAAATATGCCCTCGTAAGGACAGTCAATCACTAGGACATAAATCATAATAGAATTCGGGCAATGTGCCTTTAAAACGTAATATATCGGACGATTCTCGAAAGCGAATTCAAGTAATGTGCCTTAAAAGATACGGTGCTCGTTACAGAAATGAAATTACGGACGACCCTTATGCAATCAATCCGGTAATAAAGATTTAGTGCCCTTATTAGGATAGTCAATCACAGAGTACTGGAAAAAAATGTATATACCTATTTATATATATATGTATGTATGTATCTAAGTCTTCTTCAAACAAATTGCATCTAGGTGAATAATGGCTCCATTGTCGAACGGTGCGAACGGAAATGAAAACGGGTACAAAACGCCAAGGCATCCTCGGTGGACGAGAAGAGAGACGATGGTCTTAATCGAAGGGAAAAAGATTGCGGAGGAGAGAGGAGGGAGGAGGGGGAGAAGATCCGGTTCCGTAAACGGGTCGACCCAGGTCCATGTCGAGCCCAAGTGGGACTACGTCTCGTCGCACTGCAAACGGAACGGAGTGACGAGGGGCCCCGTTCAGTGCCGTAAGAGATGGAGCAACCTTGTGAGTGATTTCAAGAAGATTAAGGCATGGGAGGGTAATAAGGTAATTAATGGAGATGGAGGAGAAGGGGGAGGGGAATCTTTTTGGTTGATGAGGAGTGATTTGAGGAGGGAGATTAAACTTCCGGGTTTTTTCGATCGGGACGTTTTCGATGTTTTGGACGGTAAGGCTTTTGCGACGAACGATGGTTATCAGCTCGCTTTAGTGACGATAAATACCGACGAAAATAACGGTGAAGATGACGATGAGGACTTTGAGGAGGAAAACGAGAGGAGCCCTGTTTCTTCTCCGGTGCCTATTTCAGGTGCCGTAAACATTCGAATAGTCGACTATTTTATATATATATACATAATACTAACATTTTTCGTATTGTTGGCAGAGATGAAATATCAGCCATTTTACCAGGCAGAGTCGAGTCAAGGTAAATATATATCTTCGGGTAACTATTACCGTTAGTCGTTCGACTAATAAGCCTCTCAAGCTTCGTGCATAGCTAATAATTTTTTTAAATATGTTTGTTTTCTCGAATGTGCAGAAAACAAAAGACAACCGGGCCCACACTTCAATGGAGGCTCCGATTTTCAAGAAGGGGCGAAGAGAAGAAGGCAGTCGTCGAGTGATTCTCGAAATAGTGATGTGGAAGACTTATTGGTCAAAGCTTTAGAGAGAAATACTAATCTGCTCAACGCACATTTCGACGAGCAGAAGTTGAATTTCCAATTGGATAGGGATCGGCAAAACAGCCAGCACGACAGCTTAATCGCAGCTCTTACCAAGGTTACCGATGCTCTCGAAAAAATAGCCAATAAATTGTAAAATCAAGAAAACGAAAAAAAAAACCCGACTTTTATCGCTCTTCGTTCGTACCTTACAAAAGGGGCTCGGGATTTGCCGCCTCTTTTACCATTGATTGTAACAGTTTGGTCAAACTTTGTTTATCTGATGTTTTGATTCTTCCTATGGTGAAATATGCGCGTGCAATCTGTTATCTTACGTAAAAAGTTACCGAGCACGAAACGAAAACCGAGAAATGCAGCAAATACTAAACTTCGACAAACGGTGCACATGATACGAAATTAGTAAAAATGCAACCATTTACACTAAACTATCCAAAATTGAGTCAAAAACCGGAAATCTATCTACTATACATGGTATGAAATCGTGCACGAACGAAAAACGTCAATATAATATTACGAAAAAAAAAAAAAAAAAAAACTCACTTTACGCACTAAGCAGGAACGGCCTCGACGACTCTCGAAAAGTAGAATTGCGTGGTGGTCAAACCCCTCTTCCTAATCTTCCACCCGACTTTATTCAACGCTCTCTCGACGTCGGCTTCTGAATGAAGATAAGCCCGTGTGGCCTTCGAAGGCCCGGGGAATAATTCTCCGACTCTTTTGAGCAGAGAGTAGTAAAATGTCTTTGGTGCGAAACTTAGAATCAATCGATCTTCGGAGAGAGAAGCTAAGTGCGCAATCATGGCATCCGCTTTACTTTGCGGGTAGTGAATCAAAACGTCTAAGCAGATGACGGTGTGGTATTTTCCGTTTAAGCTCTCCAAATCGCTCACTTCGAATTTCGGAAGTACGATTCCGGCGGGCGGCGAGTCGGTGCCTTTGAATAGCTCTTCTCGTGCCTGCGTTGGAAATTGAACGAATTTTTGAGATATTTAAAAATGTAACAACATAAGAGAACGAATTACATAAGCACATGTTTAGACAATCATCGGTCATTTACATGAAAATGTAGATGAAATAACCCGATTCGCACTATCTTATCTAATCCGATTTCCCCCGATTCCGATCCAGAATTGTCGGATTTTGGAACAATATTTTTCAATTTGAATTTCGAAGTTCATTTTATTCCGAATTCTTTGGATCATAATTGGAGTATCTCCGATCTGATATTAATTTTCGGGAATAAAAAAAAAATCCGAAATCCTAATTGTTTTCCTAAAATTACACTTATAATATCAATACTATTATGCATTTTATATTTTGTATCGATAAAAATTAGAATTTCTGAATTGTGCCGATAACAAATCCGAAAAGTTCCAATCTTGGAATACCTTTTTCTATTCCAATTTTCGAAATTCCGATTTCCGATTGTTTCTTTAGAAGGTAGTCGGAATTACATTTTACTTCCTAAAAGAAAATCGACTTTTTTTTTTCTTTCCAAAAGTGCTAATTACGATCCGATCCTCCGATCCTCCAACTTCCCACCTCTACTAACAACATAACAATGAATCAAATTTTACCTCCAACCCCATCAAATCCAATCAACAATTTCAAGAATCAATCCAATATCCCAAATGCAACCAAAATCAAGAATGAAACTTAAAAAAAAAAAAAAAAAAAAAAAAAAAAGAAACTTTAAAATTTAGTTTAACAGTAGCCACACATTACTCACCTCTTTCTCAGCCTCAGCCACCATAGCGGCGGAGATATCGCTGGCCGCCACGACAGCGCCCTCCTTGGCCAACGGAATCGACAAGCAGCCGGTCCCACAGCCGGCATCGCAGACGGTGACCCCACTCAGCGGGCCCTCGTCGAGCAACATTTTCATCACGTTCTCCACCGTCTTCGAGTGGCCGAGCCTTATGTCCCTCTGCACTTTGTTCACGTCGTCGGTGTCGCCGTAGATCCTCCGCCACCGCTGGAACCCGTCGTTGTTGAAGTACTCCCGGACCACCTCCTTGTCCCCCCCGCCCACCTCCTCCGCCTGCATTTGCCGCCGCTTCTCCGGGTCGGCGAGCGACAGCACCGCCGCCAGCGCCGCCACCGACCCGCCCCCAATGACGGCGATGGTCGTGTTGTCCAGCGCTTCGGCCACCGCGGAGATGTCGGCGGTGGAGGTGAGCGGCGGAATTGCGGCGGCGATTGAAATGGGCCTGCTGCGGCGGTGGAGGTGGGGTCTGGGGAGGGTGAATTGGGTTGGGGAATACAGGATGGAGGAAAACGCCATGATTTGCGAGCTCGGTGGTTTTCTTGTGAACTCCGACCGGCGGGAGAGTGGGAGTTGGAAAGAGTGAAGGATATTTTTATCCGTTGTAGTTTTGATTTTTGAGGTGATAATGTATTGTAATCCGCGGTATGGATTTGTGGATAGGATTAGCCAGTGTGTCTTTATGTGGGGCCCTTAGTGATTTTTCTTCCAATTTCTTGGACAATTAGGTTGTGATTGTTAAGTACTTGAAAATGGGGAAATAAAATCTTACATTATAGTGGTGGTAATATGCTATGAGTACCTGATATGAATCCTAATTTAAATTAAATGATAAGTTTAAATCCAATATTTTAATTTAATCTCTATATTAAAATAATATATGACTCACGTTATTGAATTTTTTATCCATATCTTATCATTAACCCTAAATCTTATAATTCACATATTCACGTTTCTCTCTTAGATCTATTTTCCCCTTTATTATTCTTCTCTCTTTCTCTGGCTCTCTCTATCTCGCTCTTTCTCTGGCTCCCTCTGTCTCGCTCTCTCGATATCAAGCTATCTCTCTCGCCACCACTTCATCCCATGATTTGAGAGGAGGTAGTGGCTATGACGATGGAGTTGACTATGGCGCTGGAGGCGGTGGCATGGGGGGAGGAATGGCGATGGCGGTTGCTCTGGGGGAGACGCTTGTGGTGACCCGATGTTGGCCATTAGGATGGGGTCGTTGTGCGGCGCTGCTCGGGGCTGGGGAATAGTGTCTGTGGCGCTCGACGTTGGGGGTGGGGATGGGGTTCGCATATCTAGGGTTTGGTGGAGGAGATCTACGGTTTGGTGGGGGCGGCTCTAAGATTTTTCGATTTCATGTCTATAGATGTCTAAGATTCTCTATGGGTGTTTATGATGTCTGGCGGCTAGGGTTCAAAAGAGGAATTAGGGTTTTAAGAATATGTGACTACGGATTACTATAGTTTCCTACGAGTGACTATACTTGTCTACGAACTACTACGGTTTTCTATGGGTTTCTATAGAAGACTACGGTCGAAAAAAAAAATCATAATTTTCAATATTATGTAGAAAAAAGGAAAAAAAATACGAAAAATGCAAAAAAATAATAACAAAAATGCTAGATGCGAAAATAAAAATGTTAAAATCATAATGAAAAAATTGATAAATACAGTTTAAATATTACTTGGTGCAGAATTCATTTTATGTATGTGGGGGCATATTTGGAATAAAATTTATAAAGAATGTGAAGCAAATGTTTAGTTAGACTTGTCATTTATTCTAAAAAGTTTTGTCACCATGAATATAAGAGAAAAGAAAGAACTCTGTTGGAGGGGTGAGGAGAAACGTTTGAATATTATGTTTTTAGAGAGAGAAAACAATATAATTATGTGTATGATCTAGTAATTATCAAGTGGAATTTAGCATTTCAGTTAAAATTAAAATACAACATCATTTTCCTACATTAGTTCCTCTTTTTCTCATGCCATAACAGTTGCATATATTTTAAACTAAAATGGCTTAATCCACTTTGCACCCTCGAAATCGAGCATTTTGGCACTTTGCATCCTTGGAAAATAATAATAGTACTTTACACCCCCAAAACACAATAAATCATTCACAATGCACCCTAAATTGAATAATAAAGAGAATTTAATTGTTTTTATTGGATTTTTTTCCGGGGTTCAAAATAACAAATTAAAATGTTACTTTTTTCAACCTCCAACCTAATTTCGAGCGCACAAAGTGCGATTAAATAAAAATCACACCGGATTATTGAAAAAAACTATATTTTCTTACAAATAAAGTAAAATATTTTTTTATCACTAACTTATTTGATTGATGGATCTTTTCTTGTAATTGATGGAAATATCATGAAGAAATATTTGGAAGAAAAATATGATTTTCAGGTAACTTAATAACAAAATTGCTGAAGGATTTTTTTTAGAAAAATATTTTTTTCTGATATTTTTTTTTAAATATTTTGATGAAATGTATTTTTATTTTTGCCATTTATAATTTCAAAATGATTTATGAATAAAAAAAATTGATTGGACATTTAGCATCCTAAAAGAATACCACTAAAAATATTAAATTTCTTTTATTAGCTTTAAAAATTCATTTGAAGTGCATTATGCATGATATATTGTGTTTCTATAGTACAAATTGCTATTAATTTGTTTCGAACGCTCAAAATGTCAAAATAGTATATTTGCAAGGTGGGATTAAGCCGACCAAAATGGTCAACAAACCAATAAAGAGGAATTTAATATAGAAAGGGAAAAATAAGTATCGACTATGTTACTAAATCCTAACAAAAACAATCAACTAACCGATAACAAAGAAATTTAATATAGAAAGAAAAACTTATAATCCAACACAATCTTGATTGGTCATCCTCGTTTTATCAGAACTAATTTCTTTAGAATTCAAAAATATACAACTCCGAATTTAGTTTTAAAGTACATACATGATACATGTGTTCAGTATGCAGGAATAAACAGTGACCCAGTTGGTGGAGTAATGTATTACAGTGTTATTTGTCCCGCGAATTCAAAACTTTTTGTCAACATTTTCTAGAACGAGTTCTTCACACATAATTTACTTAGCTTGGTTTACATCTTTCGTGCAAATGTTTATAACTCTAATAAAATATTTTAGTATCACAAGTACAATATTAATTCTTAACATATATATATATATATATATATATATATATATATATATATATTTTCAAACGTATTTTAGTTAGGAAGTGTAGTATTTTGCCTTCCGGGTGGGGTTTTTGTAATTACAAATAGGTGGGGTTTTTTTTCGTAATTTAACCTAAATTTAGGGGGTTTTCATAACTTACCCAAAATTTTACTTTGCTCTTCATTGAACAGAGCAGAGCCCCCACTAAGGGTTTCCCTACCCGGAATAATTCACTGAATATAACATCGAAAAAACCGATAGAGAGTGAGAGGAAGCATTCTCTAGCGTATCTCTTCAACTTGCTAATTATGAGAACATACGACATTTTCTCCCAATTTGTCAAACCATGAAAATTGGTAAATTCAGATACGATCGCAATCTACACACATTCAGAACAAACTTTCGATAAAAAAAAAAACAATCACCATGATTTCTCCTGATTTATCTTGAAGGATAAATCCTACCTTCAAAATAGTCTTGATATATATTTTTTCATGCCGACATTTACAGCTAAGAGCTTTCGATAGACTGATTTAAAAAAAAAAGGCACTCACTCGTTCATCTTGCTCTGCAGCATCAATGTATTATACATACAAGACTCATATATTGATTGATAAACACGAAGCAATCAGTGTGTTAATTGGCTGGCTTGCAGGTTGGACAAAACCACCTTCCTTTTAATCCCGTTTCCTGAGAGAGGCCCACACATGCATAATGGAACCATTCTCCTCCTTGGCACTGTCAACCGAAAAAAAAAATTCGAAAAGCTAAGACAATATTCATCAAAGTACGATAGAAAAATTAAACAAAACACGAAATACGGCAAAAAGTGGGGGAAGGGGAAACAAATACTTACATTTTCATTGTCGCAGGCAATCATATCACCAAACGATACCTGCAAGATCCAAATAACTTCAGCATAAAAAAGTAATTTTTAATAGCTTGCGACGAAACTATTACGATTTTTAATAACCAGTAATGAGGATTAAGGATTAATTAATTAATTAATTAAAGGAGTACGATAACCTGATGGCAGACGCAGTAAATAGGTTCGTTTGGATCAATGGGTTGATCGGGTGATGCAAACTCTTTCTTAAGGTTTCCAGGTGGAGGCATAAGCGCAAAATCTCTATCCCAATCCCTGTCTTTCAGATCAAGCCTCTTCGGTTGAGGTGTTCCGTAAATTGGTTTCCGTTTTTCGATTTTCGGAACTAAAGGTAATGGAGGTAGCACAGGTGACTCGTCTTGTGGTATTTTTCCTTCTGCAAAAATCAGAAAATGTTATTACGAAGCAAATGGACCATCGTTTAATAATAACCCTATTGAAGAAAAAATCAAATGGGCCACTTTGCAATGCTTGCAAATTAATATATATTCTCTTCGTCCCATATATTAATTCATTGATTGCATTGAATTGAATCTCGATATATATTTGCCAAGTAAAATTTGCAGAACTGCTTATCGAACTTGCTAATTTCATACGCTACTGTATAAATCTAAGAGAAAAACACCAAGAAGTGTGTGCACCTTGTTTGAGATCCTCCATGAAGTTATTCAGATCCTCATCAAGACGTTTCATGTGACTGTCAATCTGAAGGAACGTGGCAAAGAAAGCAAATTATCACGGAATATAAAGATAAAACAAAAAGTAATGCGAATAACGTGTTAATCAAGTAGCTAAGTTAACAAATAAGTGGTGCTAGTAACAAAAACATCCTAGGATCACTCTCGCCCCGTGCAATCACAATTCCATAGAACCAAGAGAAGAAAACAAATTAGCAAAAGAAAGAATCTTCGTTCAAATACCTCAAGATATTATGAAAAAATCCAAGAATAATAAAATTGAGTAAAAGGAAGAAAAATACTTAACAGATGCTAACTATTGCAAGAAGGGGAACAAGAAAAATGACAACTAAAAATTACACATTTCTCAAACTTTACGAGGTGCCGTAAATGCCAGGTCATACAACATCACTACAGACAAACTGTCAACCGAAATGCCACCACGATACTTACTTCTCGTGACCATGTTCTACATTTCAAATAAGTAACATTCACTAATATATATAAAATATGTGGATTTAAGAGAAACAAGTAAACAAAATCCTGTTTTAGAATCAACAGAAACTTCAATATACATGTAGCTTAAGAAAATCGATAAAATGAACAAAAATGTCAAATATCCAACTACTCCAACTAAGAAAGAACAAATAGTCGTAAAGAATAACAATGAACGACCAATATAATAAGGAAATTATATTATATTATCAAGGCTTACGAGGTCATGAGCTTGTCGGGCAAGTAGAACCTTCTCAGTACAGAGGTTGAGTGCATTGTCTTGGTTCACCTCAATCTCCTTTCGAAGCTTCTCAAAAAGCTCGTCTTCTTCGTCGTGCTTTCGACCGAACGGTCCCCCCTGAGATGCCAAACCTAGGCAGTACTTTGTTTGCTGCCTCGTCTGATTCATCATTGCTTTTATTTATGTCAACATTTAGACATAGACAGATACGAAAACTAGTCAAAATTTAGACAAAAGTATATATAAATTTATGCAACTGTAAGAAAAGAGGGAAAATGGGGAAAACCTTGGGAGCGTTCGTCTAGTTCTCGAACAGTGTTTAGAAGCCTTTGAAGCTCCGCCGGAAGTGTGCTCGAATCTTTTATTATACAATACACAACACAACAAATTTTACAGATAATTAAAAAAAAAAATAATCACCTAATATAAATTTTAGTTATATGTAAGATTGAAAAATGAACAACTCACGCTCCAAATAGTCATCTACAAAAACCCCTGTTCTAGCAATTGCCATCCTTTTTTGGTTGCTTGATTAGCTGGACTAGTTCTAGGGTTTCAGCGTGAAATTGGGGAAAACAAACACAACACCCAAAATCAAGATAAATTTTCGGTAATTAACAAAAGAGAACAGGTTAATCAAGACAGTATTTGGGGGTAATTGGCACTTTGCACCCTTGAATTACATAGGTTTGGCACTTTGCACCCTTTAATTACAAACTTTTTGGCACTTTGCACCCTTCTCCACTTTTAGGCCACAAATGTAACGTGCTACCTGTTCCAATAAGGGCAGATTTGTCTTTCTATTATTTCTTAGCTAATTAAAATCGTTTTGCCATTTTTTTTCACTAGTCGTTTCTCTGCCATTTATCTTGTTCTCTTCACGACAAAAAAACCTAGAATTTTTTTCTCCTCTTCTGCCTCTCTTCTTCAATTCTTTCTTCATGGGTAAACCGAATTCATCGGCCAATAGTAGTAGTTCTACGTATTGGCACTACGAGGAGTAAATACCTGTTGTGTATTGTGATTGTGGAAATGTTCTTCCTCTAGTAACATGTTGGAACAAGGATAACCCAGGAAGACGATTTCACAAATGTTTGTCATATGGGTATGTGGTAATTCGATTATTTATCTAAATTTCTTTATTTTTTCCGAAATTCGGTTCTTAATTTATAAGAAATTATGTTTTTATTTTTAACAAAATTAAGTTCTTATTACTTTATGAATTATTTTCAGATTTCTGGAGGTTGTGGATATTTTAAGTGGTTTGATCCACAAATATGTGAGAGGTCAAGAAAAATAATACCTGGATTGCTGAAAAAAATTCAAAAGTTTGAAGAAGACTTATGTGTGTACTCTGGCCTATTATATATGGTGTCATAGAAACTTTGGTTTCATCTCAGACTTATGTGCGTACTCTGGCCTTGATCGCTGCTCGATTCATCCAAGAGCCTTCTCCTGGTGGTTCTGACCTCGTCGATAATTCTCGGCGTGCATACACTACTGCCGTTGTTGTTGAGATGCTTCGATATCTAATACTAGCTGTACCCGATACTTGTATTGTTTTGGATTGTTTTCCTTTGCCTAGAGTGTGATAAGTCATGTGGTAAGTGATGGAAGTTTTTTTATCCAAAATGGTTGACGAATCTAGGAAAGTGACGTATGGTCAAGTTGAAGTTGCTAGTTTGCCTAGAGATAGAAATCAGGAGGTTCAAGCCGATTCCTTGTCCTTCCCAAGTGTTGTGTATATCAATAGGTGTGAGCAAGACACATAAACAAGAACAAACATAACAAAACAAAGATCTATTGTCTGTCAAAAACATTAAAATACAGTATATTGTTTTTTATTTTTTACTGTTTTTATGTACCAAAAACCTTAACAAGAGTATACTGTTATTTATTTACAATGTCTTTATATAGCAAAAATATTAAAATAGTATTGATCAAATTCACCAAATTCAACCAAATAACATTTGAAACCAAATTCGATACATTAATTCTTTGAAAATTTATAGCATAACATACTTCTCAAAATGAAACTGAACCAAAAGTAAACTTTTCAAAAACACTGGAATAAGCAAAAAACAAAACCAGACTTCTCACAAGCTTCAAAAGCCAACTTATCAAAAATTTCTCAAAAGCTTCATCATCAATCGTACACCCTTGTTACTGTAGAATGATTATCACTTTGTTGCGTTACAAGTCTATTTGACTCCATTCTGTATATCCTTGTTGCCACCAAAGATGTAGTTGTTCCAGACGACGATTCCTACAAATAATAATAACATCTCAAAATAATAACATATGATAGTGTATATGATATAAATAACATGTGGTTACTATTAAAATACAATAAAAATAACCTGTGGTAGTGATTCACAACCTCTAACAACAAAATTTGATTTCTCAACATTTATCTTTACCTACAAAAACATGTTTATCAGCAAACAATAATTAAAATGAGAGACCGAGACATAATAGATAAAATTTAATTATTACCGGCAATTTTTGCCTCTTTGTTATTTGACTAGACACGCCTGCACTTAGATTCGTAGATGCCTCTTTACACCCTTTCTTGTTATGTCCCAACTTTCCACATTTTGAGCATGAATATTTGGGACCATTTCTTTTTCCAGTCACTTGTTTTTGGCTTGATTCATCAGATTCTTTCCTTCTAGCATGCTTCAACGGCCTTCCTGCTTTTTTTGGTTTTTCGTACCATGGCACTAATGTATTTAATGTAGAATCAGGCCATTCTTTTTGCCCTTTCAAAGGGTTGAGCATGTGCGAATATGCTTTCAAAAATGTATCCTTTCTGTACCAATGCTCAACATAATCCTCAGTATTTTCCCTTCTATAAAAGATACAAGCTGTAGCATGAACACAAGGGATTCCAGAGATGTCCCATTTTCTGCAACTGCAAGTTTTTAATGTCAAATCAACAGTCCACTGATCACCAACCCATCCCTTAACTTCAAATTTATCATGACCATTCCACTCTAAAATATATTCGTATGCCTTTTTTTTGTTGTTTTCTAAGGTCCTCTGCACCGACGGGCAAATGTCTCCATTAGATTTTTTCACTTTATCCTTTGAGAATGAATTCTTCTCATCATAATCACCCTGATAATTTCCAACATGGTTATTATAGGTTTATCACGTGCTTTTAGGATAACTTTGTTGAAACTTTCACAGAGATTGTTGAGCAATAAATCACACTTCGGCCAGGTACTAAAGTGAGACTTTGCCCAATGCATTGGAGGTCTTTCTCTTACCCAATCATAAGCAGCTCGATCACATGCTTTCAGTTTTTCCATCTCCCTATTAAAATCCACAACTCTAGTTGTTGAAGCAGCTTTCCAAAGACAATCTTTCAGCTGCAAACCCTTGTGTTTTTGCTTGAAATTATTGTACATATGCCTTACGCAAAATCTGTGCTCATAATGTGGTAACAAATCTTCTATTGCTCGGATCAACCCTTTTTGCTTGTCAGAAATGATAGTCCATCCATAGCTGTTTCTCATCTCCAAGTCATCAATAAGAAGACTCACAAACCACTCCCAAGATTTTCTGTTTTCTTTCAAAACCATAGCATATGCAATAGGATACATACTGTTATTTCCATCTATACCCACTGCACATAACAAAACTCCTCCTCGTGAAGTCTTCAAGTGTGTGTCGTCTAGACCTATAACCGGTCTGCAGCCTGCCTTGAATCCTTTTCTTTAAGGCCCCCCAACAAATATAAATTCTTTTGAATTGACAAGTCTCAGAAACTGCATCATACTTGCACTTAATCTTTATTGTTGTGTCGGGATTAGTTCTAAAAATTTCCTCACAGTACTGCCACAAATTAGCATATTGCCCCAACTCTGTGCCTTGGTTAAGCTTTGTTGCATGTTTCTTAGCTCTGTACATCTTCCAAATGGATAAAGAAGTGTGATTTTCCATTTGCATTATTTCTTGCATTGAACCAGCAGGCCACTCTGGATTACTTCTGAGGTGGTGTTGATACTTTTTTGCAAGAAATATAGAAGTGCAATGCTTAGAGCTTGGATCCCTGGAACAAGTGTGCTCTCTCTTGATTGACTTGACTTGGAAGGTATTATCAATCTTAGATATAAAAGAGGCATAAATGACCCATCCACATGCACAAATAGCTTGAACTTTGTCACTACAATTCTTCTTGAACGAAATAGGCATCCCTTGCTTGTTCGAATACTTTCTCACAGCCTCCCTGAAGTCTGTAGCAGTTTTGAAACACAAACCCACCTCAAATTCAAAATCTGACTCATCTGCATCATCTTTGTAGATTTGATACTTTGAACTTTTGGCTTTTGCAGATGAATGCCTTTTACTTAAAGACCTAAAATGCTCGGTAGCTTGATATTCAATAATTCCCTTGCCTTTATCAAGTTATTTTACCGATTCATCGTTGATACCAACCCATTCAATCTCTTTATCAATATTCTCATCATACAAGACATCGTCATATTCAAAGTCACTATCTTCAAAGCCATCACTGAACGTAGAATCACTATCATCAGTTTCTTCTCCATTGCTTTCTTCATTTTCATCAGTTTCATAGTCAACTTCCGCGATGTCTGCCGAACTTTCTGTAAAAACATAAAATAAATTAAATATGCATGGCAGGGTAATTTAAATTAAATATGCAGAGCAGTTTAACTCCATGCCTTACTAAATTGTTGGCACACATAAATAGAGTAATATAATAATATTTTTTACCAAAAAAAATTGCTGGGGAAATTTTTTTTTTGTTAACAAACTGGTACACACAAGTAGAGAAATATAATAATATTGTTGAACAAAAAACGTGCTGAAAAAATAATAATTAATGAAAATAAATATAAATATATAAAAACTTGTTGTAAAGAAATACATATAAAACCAACTAGTTGAATACGACATTCAAGACATTATAAAAAAAAACTTGCTGTATACAACATTCAAGCTATTATAAAAAAATACCTGGGGGAATTTTTTTTAAAAAAAAAAAAAAAAAAAAAAAAAAAAAAAAACAACTTGAATATTCAGTTGTTTTGGGTTGGTTGATGCTGTAAGAAATATGTCGTTTTGGCTATTGTAAAATCTTTATCTATAACAATATAATACTTTAGATATGTACATTTTTAAATGAAAAATTGTATTACCAGGGAATGGAGATTGATAATTCGAAGGTATATCAAATAGCATTTCCTGCTCGATTTTTTGTGTAGATTCTCCAGCCATTCTTGAGTATAGCTAATTGATTAGCGTATTAGGGAAGGGGTTGAAGAGAAGATGCTAGGGTTTTTTTCTTCTCTGTTTTATCGATCAATTTTTTTTTACCGAGTGTTTTATCGATGTATTTACCACGTGTACAGATGTAAAAGGACGAAGTTGCCCCTCTTAAAACCCATTGAACCGGTTGCCCGTTACATTTCTAGCCTAAAAGTGGAGGAAGGTGCAAAGTGCCAAGAAGTTTGTAATAAAAGGGTGCAAAGTGCCAAATTTGCAATTTAAGGGTGCAAAGTGCCAAATCTATGTAATTCAAGGGTGCAAAGTGCCAATTACCCCAGTATTTGCTAGAAAAAAAAAATCATCGATTTAGTAATTATTCAGTGAAAATTTAGCATAAGAATGAGAAAGTAATTATTATTTACCGAATTTGTGCAGTGGCGATTTACAAATTAGGGCTAATCTAACCGGTGAATCAACAATCAATTGGGAGCACATGCGGATGCGGGCAGACAGACGCTACGATGGCGCGGAGTGACGATCGTTTCAATTCGAATTAGTCTTTATTGCAAGTTGTTGTGAACGAGATAGATAAGGCTGTGTTTGGTAAGCTTTCGGGCTTCAATTTCCATTTTATTTTGGGGAAATATGTTTTGGGAGAAGAATTTGAAAATTAAATAAAGTTTGTTTGTGTTTTGGGAGGAGACAATTTGTACTGTAGCAAGTCAAATCATGTCTGAAAGGTGTTGGAAAAAGGTATTTTGGAAGAAGAATTTAAAAGATAAAGTGATTTGATTTTGTATTTTAGTGAAGACAATTTTCACTGTAGCGGTCAAATCATGTTTGTTAGAGAGAGAAATATTTGAATTTGTTTTGGGGAAAGTTTTTTAAAATAGTGTAGACAAATAATTTTCATTTTGGGGAAATGTGGAAAGAATTTGAAAACGGTAACAAACATAGCCATAAGGTCTTCTATTTCTGAGAGTCCCCTTCCCTAATCTTTCCAAATATAAAAATAATAATAGTTCGTTAGTGGGCCTACTAGCCTTATGGGCCGATTGGGCTGTATGAGTTTGTTGGTTTTATGGGTTTTAATGACTTGGGGTTTGGTGGATATAGGGCCATTCTTTGTATTATTTAGACCCGTGGTAACATGTTGCGCTATAATATGTTTCTTTCACCCACCAAGTTCGCCAGACTGTTTTATTGCCAAAATCGCCACTGATTCATAGTTGAAAAAACTCAATTTAAACACATTAAAATAGATTTATGACAGATGTTATTTGGTCTAACGGTGTATCGAAATTATTCAAATAAGAGTAGCTCCCTCGAGAATTTTTTTATTTATTACTAATAGATTTTCTTATTACTTGCATGTTTATAAGTTTGCTTGAATGAGTTTTAGTTGAATCATGTTCCTATTTGTAGTACTCCACTTTAGCAATGAGCGGTGATGATTAATTTAATGTTACAGCTGAAAAAGTGTTTCCGTAACGCATTGAAAAATCTACATATTTTGTAAAAAGGTAAGTACAACATAAAAATTTCTAAAAAGTTCTCATAATTTTAAGGGCAAATGGCAAAAAGGCCCATCACATGGGACTTAAATGCATTTTGGTCCACAAAAAAAACAGTCTCTCAATTAAGCCCATCCCCATGTCTTTAGTCTAAAATACCCTCAATAATATAATTCTTATCAATTCCACCCATTATGATCTAACTTCCTTAATATTACACATTGACCCCGGATTTAAACAAATATTATCACATTTACCCAAAATTAAACAAATTCAGAAAAAAAAATTTTTTTCTGAAATGTCCAGATTCCGGCGTTGACTTTTTTTTTTTTTTTTTTTTTTTTGAAAACTTTATTTTTTCCTGAATTTTTTTCCGGTCGGTCAACCACTGTTGACCGCCGGTCTCCGGCGTTGACTTTTTTTTTTTCAATTTTTTTTTTTAGAAGAAAAAAATATTTTAATTAATATTACTGTTTTAGCTACTAAATTACTGTCTCAGACAGTAATATTACTGTTTTAGCTACTAAATTACTATCTCAGACAATATGGGACAGTAATATTATGAATATTATTTTTTCCGAACAGTAATATTATGAATATTATATTTCCGAACAGTAATATTTTTAATATTATTGTCTATAACAGTTAAATTACTGTTGAAGAGAGTAATTTAGCATCTAAGGCAGTACTATTAATTAATTTTTTTTTTAAGAAAAAAAATGAAAAAAAGCCAATTAACAATTAAATTACTGTCTCCAACAGTTAAATAACTGTTGGAGACAGTAATTTAGCAAACGAATACTGTAATATTAATTAAAAATATTTTTTTTAAGAATAAAAAAGTCAATTAACAGTTAAATCACTGTCTCCAACAGTTAAATAACTGCTGGAGACAGTAATTTAGCAACAAATACAGTAATATTAATTAAAATATTTTTGTAGAAAAAAAAAAGGTCAATTAACAGCTAAATTACTGTCTCCGGCAGTTAAATAACTGCCGGAGACAGTAATTTAGCAGCCAAGACAGTAATATTAATTAAAAAAAATTATAAAAAAAAAAAAAAAAGTCAACGCCGGAATCTGGCCGGAAAAAAAAAGCATTTCTGAGAAAAAAATTGGGGGGTTAATGTGATATATTTGTTTGAATCCGAGGTCAATGTGTAATATTAAGGAAGTCAGAGCATAATTGGTGGAATTGATAAGAATTAGGGTTAAAATTGGGGTCAAAATTGAAATTAGGATTAAATTGGTTAATTGATGAAATTGGGCTAAATTGGGGTGTAAATCGTGAAATTGGAGTTGAATTGGGTTTCAATGAATTAGGGGTAATTTTGGTATATATAAAAGGATTTTCCTTATTTGCAAATAAGTTTGAATGTGGTGGATTTATTTGAAAGACAAAAAAGTTGAATGTCCCTCTTTTAATTAAGTGCCCTTGTCATGGGCGTATTTGTCATTACCCCTAATTTTAAAGTTTCAAACTGTTTTATGTTAATATCCTACATAGTTTTAGAAAATTCTTATCTTGATATTCTTTTTTTGTTTTGGTTATATGGTAACTTGTTTAGCCAAAATGGTGCAAATTCGATCTAAAATAGATGTGCATGTTAGCTTATAAGAAAGGGTAAATCACAAAAACGCCCATGACAAGGGCACTTAATTAAAAGAGGGAAATTCAATTTTTTTGTCTTTCAAATAAATCTACCTCATTCAAACTTATATGCAAATAAGGAAAATTCTTTTATATATACCAAAATTACCCACAATAATTGAAACCCAGTTCAACTCTAATTTCATGATTTACACCACAATTTAGCCCAATTTCTCCAATTAACCAATTTTAACACTAATTTCAATTTTGACCCCAATTTTGACCCGCCACCATCGGAGACCGCCGGTCTCCGGCGTTGACTTTTTTTTTTTTTCTTACAAAAAAATATTTAATTAATATTACTGTCTTGGCTGCTAAATTACTGTCTCCGACAGTTATTTAACTGCCGGAGACAGTAATTTAACTGTTAATTGACTTTTTTTTTCTTCAAAAATATTTTAATTAATATTACTGTATTCGTTGCTAAATTACTGTCTCCAGCAGTTATTTAACTGTCGGAGACAGTAATTTAACTGTTAATTGACTTTTTTATTCTTAAAAAAAAATATTTTTAATTAATATTACTGTATTTGTTGCTAAATTACTGTCTCCAGCAGTTATTTAACTATCGGAGACAGTAATTTAACTGTTAATTGACTTTTTTATTCTTAAAAAAAAAAAATTAATATTATTGTATTCGTTGCTAAATTACTGTCTCCAACAGTTATTTAACTGTCGGAGACAGTAATTTAACAGTTAATTGACTTTTTTTTTCTTAAATTTTTTTCTTAAAAAAACTTATTTTAATTAATATTACTGTCTTGACTGCTAAAGTACTGTCTCCAACAGTAATTTAACTGTTTTAGACAATAATATTAATAATATTACTGTTCAGGAAAATAATATTCATAATATTACTGTCTCCGACAGTTAAATAACTGCCGGAGACAGTATTTTAGCAGTCAAGACAGTAATATTAATTAAAATATTTTTTTTAAGAACAAACAAAATTTAAAAAAAAAAAAAAAAAATCAACGCCGGAGAGCGGCGGTCAACGGTGGTTGACCGCCCGAAAAAAAAAATTCAAGAAAAAAAAAGTTTTCAAAAAAGACAAAAAAAAAAGTCAACGCCGGAGACCAGCGGTCAACGTCGGAATCTTGCAGGAAAAAAAATTTAGAAAAAAAACATTTTGTGAAAAAAAAAAATTGGGGGTTAATGTGATATATTTGTTTAAATTCGGGGTCAATGTGTAATATTAAGGAAGTTAGAGCATAATTGATGGAATTGATAAGAATTATATTATGGAGGGTATTTTAGACTAAAAACATGGGCTGTTTTTTTTGTAGATCAAAATGCATTTAAGTCTCATATAATGAGTTTTTTTGCCATTTGCTCTATAAGAAAATAAAAGGGAAAAAGACAAATTATATGCCTATTTATCTCTAATGTAAGTCCAATTTGTTAAGGTCTCGTTTGATACGAGGGTTTCTTCCTACTCTTTGGATACTCACAAGATACTAATTTGTTAAGGTCTCGTTTGATACGTTTCTTCCTACTCTTTGTAATGTAAATACTAATTTGTTAAGGTCTTATTGATTGTGTAATTAAAATATTTTATTATTGGATAGAAAATTCTCAATATTGGGTGAAGTATACCTGCCTAGAGCCTCTAAATCTTGATTTTAAAGGTGTCATATATTGAAATATCTTATATGTTTTATTATTTAATTAAAACACTTTTTTAAAATTTTAATTCTTTTAAAATAGATTTTCACGGTTGGACGGGTGTCAATATTTTTAAAATTTTGATCATATCCTTCTTTCTTTTGTAATCTCAAGTAGTCCTGACTCCTTATTTATCCTACAGATTATATAACTATTGCTCGAACATAAAAGTTCGAGGAGTCGTGTGAAATTTGAAAAACTTTTGAAATATGATATTTGGTTTGATATTAACTGAAAGTAACTATTTTTAGAATTTATCGTGTTGACACAAATTTTATCAAAGGAGATATATAAAGAAAGTTGAAAATAAATACATATTTATATAGACTTGCTTATTTATGTGTTTGTTTTTAACTTAACTAAAAAGTACAAAAAATAGTTTAGTTTTTGGAGGCCGCACTCGGTATGGTAATTTTTAATTATTAATATGGTGAAATAACGTTCCAATAGAAACAAATATACATATGTTTACGTAACTATGTACAAATCAGTGACAACAAAGAGTCGTAATTAGTAATATATTTCAATCTACCAAAAGGGGCCTATTATAATGAGTATTTACTTTGCTTTACTTAGAAATAAGGTTTGTTCGTTATTATTAACAAAAATGAAGAAGAAAAACGTGAAAACTCAAATCATAATTAATAACGAGAAAATGATGATTTATGGAAACGAATAAACGTGATCGGCGCCAATATGTTAACAGACTTTTAAAGTTGTTCCTTCGCCCCCCCCCGGCCCCCGCCCCCACCCCCATCGCCCCCACCACCTCGAAAATGTAGTCTGTAGATAAATCTGACAGCAAGTCGCCGTCAGTCCACGTCTGAATTCCAGCTCCGAAAAAAGCCCTTTAATTTTTTTTATATATGTATATTTTTTCCAATAGCAAAAAAGGCTTATCTAGTAACACAGGAAAATTGACCTTTTTTGTTGTTGTTTATTAGCTGAAACTGATTATAGCGGCGGCGGACGAGGGTTTTTGCTCCCAATTTTTCCTTCATCGGGAATCTCGCTTCGATTCGTGGGTCGATTAATCGCTCTTGATTTTTACTTGGAAAATCAATTGGAGATTGGAGTTCGCCATGGCGGGGTTTGTTGGGGTGGTTTTGACTGTGGTTTTGAGTGTGTGTGTTTTGGTGGAGGGTAATTACATGGTTTACGACACCGCCCAAGGTGTTGTGCCGGGAAAATTGAATGTGCATTTGGTTCCTCATACGCACGACGATGTTGGCTGGTTGAAGACTGTCGATCAGTACTACGTTGGTTCCAATAATTCGATTCAGGTACATTTCTGATTTCCCCCCTTTCCTAAATTTCATCGATCAAACATTTCCCCCCCCTTTTTCGTTGATTCATTTGGTCTTAATTGAACTTGTGTTTGTTGATTTTGTAATTTATCAAAATGATAGAGTGAATTCTTCGGAGTTGCTACGCTGCGTGTTTTGTCTTGGATTTTATGTATGATTTAATTGTATGGAATTTATTGTTGAATCAATTTTAACCCAACGATTAACTCATAAGTGAATAATTATTAACTCAGGTTTATGCGAAGTGATTTCGGTTTTAGTGTGTATAATAGTGTGTGCGCATTTTCGTTTGTGGAGGTTCAAGGTCAATTTCGATTTCTATGATGGATTAAAATTTAATTGTCAAAAGACAACACTGTTCTTACCTACGATGGATTAAAATAGAGTATGCTTTCAACTTACGATTCAGTTTATTTCTCGTTGATAATTGCAACACTTACTATGTCGGATATGTGTAGGTAGCATGTGTGCAGAATGTCCTGGATTCCTTAATCCCCGCATTGCTTGCTGATAAGAATCGGAAATTTATTTATGTTGAGCAGGTAAAAAATTTCGTTGTTTATTTATTTACTAAACATATCAGTATTGTGCATGGTGGTGATATAAATGCTCTTTTTCCCCCCATTATAATAGGCGTTTTTCCAACGATGGTGGCGGCGACAGAGTGAAGCGACAAAGAAGACGGTCCAAATTCTAGTCAGCACCGGTCAACTTGAGTTAATGTACTCATCTATATTATTACATCATTAAATTATTGTTTGGTTATATGTGTGTCACGTTAGCCTATTGAATGATTATGCAGAAACGGTGGCATGTGCATGCACGATGAGGCGGCAACACATTACATTGACATGATAGATCAGACAACATTAGGGCACCGATATATCAAACAGCAGTTCAATGTCACTCCTAGGATTGGATGGCAAATTGACCCTTTTGGACATTCTGCCGTTCAGGCGTACCTTTTGGGGGCAGAGGTACTTTAATTGGTCATAATCCCGTTATTGTTCTTTATTATTGTCCAGTTTAGTAATTTATTCTTATATGATAAATAAATATGTTGCTGGCTTTTTAGGTTGGATTTGATGCACTTTTCTTTGCCCGTATTGACTATCAAGATAGAGCGAAAAGGAGAGATGAGAAAAAGCTCGAGTTTATTTGGCAGGGTTCGAAAACCCAAGGTTCTTCCTCTCAGGTTAAATCTTGAAATTGTTTAATTGTCTTAATTGCATTATGCGGAAAATCGGCATTCTACATTTCTGTCTATAATTCAGATATTTTCTGGGGCTTTCTATGCCGGGAATTATGAACCTCCAACCGGTTTTTATTACGAAGTCAATGATGAATCTTCCCCTGTAGTCCAGGTAACTGTTTAGGCCTCATTTGGAAATGTTGATGGATTGATAAGATTGATTGAGTTTGTTAGGATTACATTGTCCATGATAATATGATTATGTTTTATGT